CCTTTGTTAATAAATGTCTCTGCAAGCTATGCCTGACTCCAGGTCTCCTACAGGAACCACATTCTCCATTAGACTCATCCACATTGCTTCTCTCCCAAGGACTTCTGATCACTCCTCAGTTAGAATTCATAATCCCTGCTCAGGGCCTGTGGTTTTCCCCATTCCAGTAAATACCTGATCCAGGAAACATTTCTGGCACACCCCCTTATGTTCAGAGCCCTGTAAACCTCTTCTGGGCCCCAGCACAACCCAGAAAGTTGTCATTCCCATCTTTAGGGACCTTAAACCCAAGTCAAGCAGAGAGGGAGCACAACCCTTTATCAAAGGAAAATCCAGCAATCTAAGATCATGGCTCATGCCAAGTCTCTCATTTAAAATAGCTCTTTACTTCCAAAGTTTATTTGAAAGAGGTACTCTGAGGAAAGGCTCATTTCCTTAAAATATCAAAGACCTAAAAACCAAAAAATGATAGATTTTTCTGGAGACAGAGTACAAAGTATATAAATAAAATTCTGCAAAGTGTACAAATAAATATTATGAGGAATTCTTTTCTACTACAGTTGTCTACCACCCTCAATATTACATTTAGCTAACTTAATTTTCCGTGGATCAAATTTATTCAAAGTTAAATTTCTCTTAATAGGTCATCTGAGTAAACAGTTTTGAGTGTTATTTGCCAAAAAACAATGTTTCCAGGCCCCAGATGGAATCAGCAGTGTCAGGCTAAGAAAACAACCTTAGAAATTCACAGAGGGCTGGAATAATTGCAGAAAAATTGGAGCCTGGAGGTCAGTCTTTTTCACGCAGCTTTGGGGGTAAAATTACACGTTTCCACCAAAATGGTGTCTTTGAGGGATGAGGGATGAAAGTAGTTTTCTAAAAAATTCAAACTGTACAAAGCACTACATCTTTAAAGCGGCAGTTGTCCTACAAAGAATATGCCACTTCATTGGTGACCCACACCAACCACAGATTGATCCCCCAGCACAGCAGGGAGCCTGCATCTTGGCCTTCTCGGATCCTGGTTTCAGAGAGAAGAAATGAAAAATAGAGAAGAAAATGGAAAATGGGGGTGGGGGGCATGTTAGAGGCAGAAAATTAGGGAAAAAGAAGGGATGGATTAGAGTAGGGAAGAAAACTGGGTTGAGATATGACATCATGTTTTGCATACATAAAGGAGTCATCAAGAGAAGTAGAGTGGCGCAATTTTAGAGTGAAATTTTCTTTAGATATCTTCTTAAAATTATTGGGTTTTTGCATTGGAAGGGATAGAGGGGATAAATTAGTTGCACAGCCTATTTCACAGTCAGTTTTTATAGATAAGAAAGAGGACATATGGGAAACATATCAGTCCCTTACCCTAAAAAGATGCAAACAGAATAGAGGAATTCCCTCTCCTAATTCTTAATTCACTTCCTTTAAGGACTTCTGAACAGAGAGATTCAGAGAAGACCTTTTCTATTCAGAGAAGACCCATGACATTAAAAGCATCACTAGTTATACTTATGACACAACAGTCAAATTCACTCCTGCCTGTGACCCTACAACACTACTCACATGGCAACAGCACACACTGGCACCCCAACTACTTACTTTAGGATTCCATTGTGTGGCAGAGAGAACCTTTATGTATCCTCTTCCTCTTGATGTCTACATAACATTCTGCTGACATCATCACAAACAGGAAGAAAGCCAGTCCAGAAACTACCTCTTACTCCTTAATCTTTATATTTAAGACACTGGAAAGCAGACACTACATTCAACCAGTATAAGCAATATTCATTCAGGACAGCTGTGATGTCTTAAGAGGAACTGGACAATGTTCTGTGAATGGATCTTGGTTCATTCCAGCTTAGGTACATCAGCCTATGTGAAGTTAGAGGTAGAGAAGATGAATAATTTTATAGTTTCACTGCTAAGCAAAACTTTAGGAATAGTTTGGCTCTCAAGTTTTCTTTATATATCTTATGTCAATGGCTTGATTATGTTCTGATAGAACAAGGATTCCTCCAGGCACTGGAATCATTTGCATGGCAGTGTACTCACCATGATGATAAGACCTCCAGAGTTGGTCAGTATGAGAAGGCAGTACCTGAGCAACACTGTCCAGTTGGCTTACTCTTTAGATCTAAGCCAACTGAAGAAGTGGTCTTTTGTCTGAACCCAACGCTCCCATTAGAGAGGGCTCTAATGCAGCTCTGTGATTCACTGGTACTGTGAGGATGGGTATCTCCAACAGATTGCAGGTAATTCACAGGTGAACTCCAACTCTAGTGCCCAAATGTGCTATTCATGCTTTATTACATCATTATCAATTCTCACAGAAGTTATGAAAGTCAAAATGATTCTCAATTACACAGAGAAGTAGAGAGAGATTGGAGAACCTATGTTATCCAAATCCTATTGTCTCTAAATTTCTAAGCTGAAATTCAAATCCAGGAGAGTATGATCCAAGAACCAGGTTAGAGATGTGTCCACATGATATCCTGAGTTATTTACAACTAAGCTAGACAGATACAATATATGTCCAGAGAGAAATGAGATTTCTGGACCAACCTTTCCAACACACTTTCTGTGATCATAAAAATGATTTTATATCTGTATACAGCATGTCAGTCAGCAACTTTGTGAAATTATTAGGTACTCAACAGGTGACTGGTGCAACTGAGTCTAAATCTTTCAATCTACTTCATTTAAACTCATTTAATTTTAGGTTGACATTAAATAGTCCATATTTGAAAACATAATTAAGAGAAACATTGTGCCAAAAATATCCAAAGATATAACAGTCACTGCAACCAAGGCAGTCAGATCAGGCTTCCTGAAGGACAAAGACTTTAAACAGATACGTAGTCTGGTAGGGCTGGAACAGTATCCATCCTATTTCCAGCATGATCCTATTTCCCAGAAAATTTGGTTCTAACGAGAGGCCCTCACACACCAGACCCATCCCCATATTCACAGAGGCTCCCTCTCCCTGTCCACACCACCACATGCTGGGCTTATGCTCTTTTTAAAATGTTGAATATACTCTAGTCCACCTAAGAGCTGAGTCATTTTCCCCCCTTATAATAGCTTTTAATGGACTTTATTCTTTTTTGCCTGTCACTGGGAAGACAGCAAATGGCATTTGGATGCAGCAAATGCCACTCACAGAAAGATGTGGCATGACTGTCCCTCAACAGAGGATGCTCACTCTTGGGCACACCTGTCCCTGTGGGGTAGCAAAACCCAGCCCACAGAACTGGTCCTGGCATCAGTCTAACTCCCTCTTTTGCCATACCGGTGGTGATGTCTAATTTCTTTAGTACTTTCTTTTAACATTCTAGTCAATTTCTACCTATTAGCAGCATAAACATGTTAAAAATATATGAGTACAAATCCAGACCAATAAACAGCACTTACCAATCACTCACATCATCTGATGATACTCTCTCCCCAAGTCCATCCTCCATAAATACACATTTCTCCAGTTACATGTGGTTCTGCCCCCTCTGTGGGGTGCTTGAATCTATATGTTTATTTTACAATTCTAGCTTAATTAGCTTTCCATGTACTTCATTAGCCTTCCTTCTGATTTTGATCAACAATCACAATAATCCTTAAATTCTCCAGCTGAAAAAATGTACTTTATGTATGGTAGTTGTATGGTTTCTTTTTGGAAGGAGGTAGTATATTTATTTTTAATTCTTTATAGCTCTGCTTAGAAGCTGACTGTTCAGATTCTCAGAAGGTAGGCACCTCTCCCCATGTTCCCCAACACGAGCAAAATACAACTTTACAGAACACCCTCTGAACTCAAAGGTAGAATGTTCTTTGGACTTTAATAGAGGCTTTTTATTTTATTATTTTATTTTATTTATTTATTGAAGTCTTTGGACTTCAATAGAGGCTGCTTATCTATTATTTATTTTTATTTTATTTTATTTTATTTATTGAAGTCTATGGACTTCAATAGAGTCTTTATCTCCTTCCATGATGAAACCAGATATAAGACAGACTTTTGGAGGCTTTTGGATGTAAACTCCATCTATTGTCTAATTCCTGAGACATTAAATGGGGCATATATAAAGCTGAAGTTCCTCACCAGGCAAAAGAAAAAAGTTCTAATTGTGGAGAATCCAAGATAAAATGAAGCCTTCATCCTCTGCTTATTGCCTTCATCCTACAGCTTTGTTTTTATACAATCTGAGATCTAAGAATGGCTTAGATTTGTAAACGGTTGTTAAAAATCATCTTAATATATCCCAGTCTACTGCCTGCAAAGCTTAAGGTACTTACTATTCAGTCATTTCTGCACCAAGTAAGCTGACTCTTGGTCTAAATTACAAGAGACGTCACTCACCTCCCCAAAAGGTGTCTGGCATTCCTAAGAACTGGCACTATCATCTTAGGTTCTGTTAATTCTTGGTCTCCTTGATTCCTTCTGTATGCTTATTTTCTCTTTAAGTACAGTAATGCTAGCTTTAAAATGTTTCATATTTTCCCTGAGGAAATATGTGCACAATATCAAATACTAATGACAGATAAGTGAATATTCGCTCCCGTCAACAAGATCAATGGCAGAAATGGGTATCTGGCTCAGTTGCAGAGGTAGGGAAATACTCTAGAAGCCCCTGTATCTTTACTGTGACAGAAACAAAGTTCCCAATTAACGACAAGTCAGAGAGGAATCCAGGGACTGTGAGAAGATGAGCAACAGAACATTATCAGTGCTCCTGATCCTGATCCAGTTTCCACTTGACTGCACGTGCAAGAGAACAGCATCGGAGCCTCCCTAATATTGACTTACCTGTCCCCAACTCTCCTAGAACAGAGACACAGAAATAGGAGCATACTCAACCAGTATACCCTGGGCATTTCCCTCTAACTTTTGAAAACTCATGCTCTAACTGTCCTTGAAATGCCTCTGTATCAGAACTCAGAAAAACATAGCATATTTCAGCATTTCCTTGGCCATTAGAAGAATAAAGAATCACCATTTCCTGGAGAGCCATTACCTGGTTCAGTGCAGTTCTTGTTGTTCCAGAGTCCTCCATCTTCGGAAGTCAGAGTGTCATTCACCTGAAGTAACTTCCTACCACCCATCCACTGTCGGTCCTGCCCGAAGAGGTCCATTAAGTCAAGGTCTAGGAAGAGAAGATAATAACCACACATCACAAAGGGAAAAGTTAGCTATTACCAATGCTGGGCGCCCACTGCCTCAGTCAGTTATTGGCTTAGTCCTGCCTCTATCCTCTTAGGCCTCACCAATGTCCACTTAACCCTAAAGCAACGCAAGAATGAACTGTATGGATTCATTTATGTGTGCATTTTTTTCCAATGTTTTGACCATAGATGTTGGCTGGTTGTATGTGAAGATCCTAAATCCACAGGTGCAGATAACTATACATTATATGAAGATTTTCAAATGTAGGGGGTCGTTATCTCCAATCCGTGTTGTTTAATAGTCAATTGTAGTTGAGCCACCTTGCCTATAAATCCCTCACCCGTTCACCACCTGGATCCAATTAGGTGCAGCAGAGGTAGCTCTCAGCGATTGATAGGAAGTGGTATAGAACAGTTCCATATGGGTTAGCTTTGAGGTGTGTGGTCTAACCTGAGTTCCAGAGTTCTCCTGAAATTACACTAAAGTTGTCTGAAGTTTAACTCTCTTGATAAAGCACCCTCTATTGGCTGCTTAATTCCTATTTCCAATTATATGCTAAGAGACTTTTAAAAACAAGTTCTTCGGGAAGGAAGTCCTGGTTTATAGTTGCTAGTCAATTTCCAAGGTGTTAATAATTCCAATCAATATAATCTCACTGGACCAGATTTGGAAGAGATGGACACAGTAAGATGGGTCCAATAAGCTCCAATAAGGTCCAACATTCCCCCTACTAGTTTTCTCTTGACCATCTCCCAAAATAAGCCACTTGCAATTCAACATTAAGTCAGGATCTACTGCAGGGAGGTGGGAGGTCGCCCAAGCTAAGATACATTTTTAACATTCCCAGAACATGGGCCAGTAAATGCCACAAAACAAGATTTAAATAAACAGATTTTGAAAGCACAAATGGACTGGGCAGAAGACCACTGAATGCAGGTCAGTAATTGATTATAGACTGTGGGTGAGATCTCCAGTGAGATAACCATGGCATAGAGTGCCAGAGGAAGGAAGTGACTGCACCGGAAAGGAAATGCAATACATTCTGTTGAGGATCAGTTGGATTTGAATAGTCTGAAGCACTGAGATCTAGGAACTTTGTGTGGGTGTAGATGCCTCTGGGGAGAGAGCTATGCTAAAGAGAAAGTCAGGACAGTTATTAGCATACAGAGAAGGATGTGAGACATGAACGAATAAAGTTTCCTAGAAAGGGTGAGCATGCGGGATGAAAGAGAAGGGACAAAAGAAGGAATCTTGGGTAAATCAATATTTTTTTAGAGACCAAACAGAGTAAGAGGATTCAACAAATGTCCTTCAAAGAAATGCAAAGAAAAAGGGAAGTAGAGTCACAGAAGGTAATTTAAAACAAACAAAGGTTGAAGAAAATGTTGACCATACTGGACAGATCAAATAAGACAATGGCAAAGAAATGACAGCATGGAGCTGCAAGCACAGGGGTGCTTTCTTAAGGTTTGAGGTGATTGTGATGGCAAGATCTTCAGTATAGAGTTGCTGTGTTTAGCAAACTGATCTAAATGCAAGACATGGGCCTAATTTTCAAACTGTGTTCTTCACAGGAGGTCAAAGGCTGAACCCAGGCACATCAAACATGCTTTTCTGCAGTGTACAGTCTACCCAGTTTTTCATGGTGATTCAGTTTCCAAAATGGCTTCAACTGTATTGCTGAATTTGATCCTCATACTACCATTCAGGAAAGGAAAACAACTCATTGTCTATTCTATCCATTATTTTTGCCAACACCTAATTACTGTAAACTTAGAATAGGTGCTCTGTAATTACAAGTCAAAATAATTATTCCCACTTGTTGGATGATAAAGGGAGACATGGAAGTTTCTGGAAATCACATAAACCATCAGGGCATATGCAATAGCAATTTATACACTGAAGTCTTCCTTAAGTCAAAGCAACCTCCTCACAGACATTAAGTAATCAATATATCACACTGGTAAGTGGTATGCTGTTGGAATTATGTGTTGAAATTATGAGAAACCACATTCATAGTATTTTTAACCACAGAATCACAATTTGCATTTAAAAATTAAATAAAGTTCCAAGTAAAAAATAATCATGATAGGGGCTGGAGCAATAGCACAGCGGGTAGGGCGTTTGCCTTGCACGTGGCTGACACAAGTTCGATTCCCAGCATCCCATATGTTCCCTGAGCACTGCTAGGGGTAATTCCTGAGTGCAGAGCCAGGAGTAACCCCTGTGCATTGCCAGGTGTGACCCATAAGGCAAAAATCAATCAAACAAACAAAAAATAGCCAGGATAGGGGCTGGAGCAATAGCACTTCAGGTAGGGCATTTGCCTTGCACTCAGCCAAACCAGGTTCGATTTCCAGCATCCCTTATGGTCCCACAGCACCGCCAAGAGTAATTCCTAAGCTCAGAGCCAGGTATAACCCCTGTGCATGGCCAGGTGTGACCCAAAAAGCAAAATAATAATAATAATAATAATAATAATAATAATAATACTCTGTCACTGTCCTCCCGTTGTTCATCGATTTGTTCAAGCAGGCCCAGTAACGTCTCCATTGTGACACTTGTTACTGTGTTTGGCATATCAAATACGTCACGGGTAGTTTGCCAGGCTTTGCTGTGCGGGCGAGATACTCTCGGTAGCTTGCCAGGCTCTCTGAGAAGAGTGGAGGAATCAAACTCAGGTCAGCCATGTTGGCTGCATGCAAGGCAAATGCCCTACCTGCTGTGCTATCACTCCAGCCCAATAATAATCAGGATATCTAAATATATCTTATGAATACTAGTCAAGGGATTCCTACCTTAATTCTTAAAAAAAGGGGGGGAAATGTGGAACACCGGATTCAGGAACCTTTAATCCCCCCCAAAAAAAATCCTGAATACACATTCTCTACTACACATGGTACAGTCTCCAGGCAGGCACACAACTCAAACATTCATAAAATCAAAAAGGAAACATCATACCAAGTACCTTTTCAGACCAGAAAGCCACAAAAGTAGAAATAAATTCTACAAAAAGTGGGAAAAGATTAAATACTTGGACACTAAACATCATACTGGTAAACAGCAGCCAGATAAAAGAGGAAATCAAATAAGAAATAAAAAGATTTCTCAAAACAAATGAGAATGAAGATAGTAACAACCAGAACCTATGCAACACTGTAAAAGCAGTACTAAGGAGGAAGTTAATAGTTATTCAAGCACATACAAGAAGAAAGAAAAAACTCAATAAACAATCTAATTTCTCAGCTAGAGAAACTAGGAAAGAACAAGAAACAAGAACAAGAATACCAACACATATAGAAGTCAGGAGTTAACAAAAATGAGAGTGTAAATCAATGGCACAGGAAACAAGAAAACAGTACAAATGGTCAACAAAACGTGTTTGAGTTGGTTCTTTGAAAAAGTAAACAAGATTGTGGCAAATCTTTAGCTAGACTAACCAAAGGAAAAAAAGAAAGATAACCCAAATAAACAGTATTAGAGATCAGATGAAGAAATTATGAGAAACTTCAGAAATACAAACTATCAGAAGAGGTTACCATGATCACCTTTATGCTACCAAGCTTAAGAACCTAAAAGAAATAGATGAAATTTCAAATCACAGGAACTCCCAAGATTTAACCAAGAGGAAACAGAGACACTGAACAGACAGATCTTAAGTTAAAAAGAAGTAACAACTAAAAATCTCCCACCAAACAAAAGCACAGGCCCAGATGTATTCACTGGTGACTTCAAACAAAGCTTCAAAGAAGTTCAAATTCTTCAGGCTTTCAAAAATTGAGAAAATAGTAATCTTTCTTAACAGCCTCTATGAAGCCAATTCTAATAAGCCACTTATTACTATGAATCTAAAATCAGAAAGAAACACTACAAAAAAGAAAATTATAGACTAATATCCTTGATAGCACAGCGGTAGGGCGTTTGCCTTGCAAGCAGCCAATCTGGCCGACTCGAGTTCGATTCCTCCGCCCCTCTCGGAGAGCCCGGCAAGCTACCGAGAGTATCTCGCCTGCATGGCAGAGCCTGGCAAGCTACCCGTGACGTACTGATACGCCAAACACAGTAACAAGTCTCATGATGGGGACATTACAGGGCCCACTCAAGCAAATCAATGAACAACGGGAAGGACCATGACCGTGATCCTTGATGAACATCAATGCAAAGATTCTCCAAAAAAATCCTAGTGAGGGGCTGAAGCGATAGCACAGCAAGTAGGGCATTTGCCTTGCACGTGATCGACTCAGGTTCGATTCCCAGCATCCAATATGGCCCCCCCAGCACCGCCAGGAGTGATTCCTGAGTGCAGAGCCAGGAGTAACCCCTGTGCATTGCCGGGTGGACCCAGAAAGCAAAAAAAAAAAAAAAAAAAAAACTAGTGAACTGAACCCAACAAGATAACAAAAAGATTATACATCTGATTGAGTAAGGTTCAACCCTAAAAATGCAAGGATGTCTCAATATGTGCAAATCTATTAATGTAATATATCATATCAACAAAAGGAAATATAAAAATTATGGTTATATCAATTAAAAGTTTTAAAGAAGATCCAGTGTCCATTCTTAATTAAAAACAACTTCCAAAAGATAAGAGATATAATATGAACATACCTCAACATATTAATAGTCACGTACAACAAACCCACAGCCAAAAATCATACTTAATGTGGAAAACTGAAAGCCTTTACCCTGAGGTAAGGCACAAAGCCAGGATGTTCACTGTCACCACTCTTATTTAACATAGTTTTGGAAGTCTTCACCACAGCAATCAGACAAGAAAAAGATATCAAAGGAATACAAATTGGAAAAGAAGCCAAACTATTACTATTTACAGATGGCATGATAACACACATTTAAAACCCATAGAGTCTGAAAAAAATCTTAGAAACAGTAAACCAAAATAGCAAGATATATAACTATAAATAATACACAACTATTCATGACATTCCTGTATGCAAATAATGAGGTAGAAGAAAAGTACAT